ACAGTTTCAATAATTAACACATTGCATACATTCTTCCTAGTGGTTAATTGCTGTACAAGATGCGGACATGATATCCTATTTATAAACACCATTAGAACAAATCCCTCTATTCATTAAGAGACTGTAACTATATATCTATCCTAACCACTTTGAATACACAGATACAACATGGACATTCATCTGTATCCCAAGAATTCAAGTGTCTATAAGTAGCATTAGTAGAGTATAATTAGCCACCTTGGCCTTTAGATTCCTCAATACTTCATTCCATTAAAATTTTTCAAATATTTTCTGATACTAGATAATTTTTTGAAGGCTTTGTATTTTGCATGGGGAAAATAGCAGAACTATGTTAGAGTGATTGTCTGGATTTTACGTCTGACTCTATAACTTAATAGCTTTGTGACTTTGGTCAATTAATTTCTGTGCCAGTTAAACTGAATTGTTGATTTTACTGAGTTAAGAGACTCCTAGAAAGATAACTGGATCAAACAGGTCCTGAACGTGCTGAAGGCGCTGTCAGGAGGTGAGGCTCCGCTGGAGAGATGGACCATGAGGGAGTACCCTTGTTTGGAGTACTGTACCTGTGCATCCCTAATGAAGAACTCTTGCCCTGTGCATTGCTTTCCAGCCACCATAAGGTGAGTTACTTTGAGCCATCAATTCCTTCTGCTATGATGTTACTTTCTCAAAGCCAACCAACATGAACTGAAACATCTGAAACCATGTGCCAAATTAACCATTCTCTCTGTGGCAAATGTCAGGCTTTTCATCTCACCAATGGGAAATCCGACTGATACAATTGCTATGTGGAGATTTTACCTAGCCAGAGATAATGTGTTTCCTCATTTGTAAAAAGAGAATAATTGTGCTGACCCCACATGATTTTTGTAAGAATTTGATGATTTAACATTTATAAAGAGCTTAGAACAGTAACTGGCACATTGTAAGTTCTATAAAAGTACAATTAAAAATGAGAATTTGAAAAGTTCAAGGGATTATGCTTAAGAATGAATTCTATATATTATGCAGTACATTTCAAGATTGAAACAGAGTTAATTCAAACTTACATTTTTTGGTGTTTTTTTTAAATAAGAGGAAGTTTTTTCATGCTGCACTTTAAAAATAATAAAATATAATAAGATCAGCAAATTAATGAGCCAATGCTATTTATATGTTTATACATTAAAATCTTAGTCATTTTATGTTCCATTATTTTCCCCCATGTTTACTCGACACCAAGTTTAAATTCCAAAATGTTTCTCCCTTAACTTATTTTAAGGCCTGTCTTTCATCACTTTCTTTTTGCTCACCCCAAGTGCAACATTAGCCTTGCTCAACCAACTTAACTTATGCATCTGGAATTGCAACATAAAGTCCCAAAACAGCACTTGAGAAACTATGATTTATAGTTAATGTGTTACAGGTGGCTTCTTAGGAGAAATGCTTATTTCTTGTGTCATTAAAATGATGAATTTCCAAATTCTCAAATTGCCTTTCTGTTGAAAGTTTACTGTAGTTCATTTTCTTCCAAATTTGGGTTTGCATACACATTCCCCAAAAAATACTCTGACCTTATGTTTACAAGAGAAAAGTTACCATTAAAATCCTAGTAGAAGTATCAATACTTTTAAAACTCAGCAATAGGATTTCTCCTTATAAAAAGCATCATGGAGACCTGGGAATGTAGCTCAGTAGTAGAGCACTTGTGCAAGGACCCGGGTTCAATAATTTTTTTTCAAAAAAGAAGTAGAGTGCTCACTTTGTCAGCACAAATATTAAAGCTGGAGCAATACAGAGATTTCCATGACCCCTGTGCAAGGATGACATGCAAATTTGTGAAGCATTCCATATTTTTTGTTAATTTCCTACCATTTTGTTTTGAAATTCTGTATCATTTTTATTGTTTTTAAGCTCCTTAAAATAAGTCATTAGACAAAGGTGTACCAGATTTTGTTTTATATGGTTTAAAAATTATATCCCATCACTATCAAAACCAGTAAGAATGTAATAGATGATGCAATCTCAAATATAAATTACAAACAAATAAGTAGCTACTGTAGATTTTAGCAAATGATATGTTATATTAGTTTCTGAGAGACTGACTAGTAGCCAATTTATATCCTTGAAGAATTTTAGCTTCAGATTCCAATTTACTTAAAAAAAAAAAAAAAAAAAAAAACAGATTTTTTGCCCCTTGTACTGCGGATTGAACTCAGAACCTTGCGTTTGCCAGGCAAGTGCTTATTCTACTGAGCTTTCTCCCCAACCCTTCCCCACCAAAAAAAAAAAAAAACAGATTTATAATGGAAGACATAAAATAATCATGTCTTGGGCCAGTCAAATAGCTCAGCAGATTAAAGCACCTACAAGCTGGATTCTGAGGATGGGGTTTCGATTTCTGGGCCTGCTGCGCTGGCCCAGCCCCCGGGGCCTGCTGAAACAGCAATTGAAACTGGGCCGTGATTGAGACTGGGCATGGTGGTGCCTGCCTGTAATCCCAGCACTTGGGAGACTGTAAACAGGAGAATCACTATGAGTCTGATCTACTAG